TTTTTACCTGTGATTTTCCGATTTGGAGGCGACCACATTGTAGAAGATATGCATACTAATTTAGATAATTTTCTTTTTCCTGTTCCCACCGAAAACAAGAAGATAATGCCGCCAAGGCGCACGAATTTACGAGAAATGAAAGAAAACGTGAAGAATTTAGTAAAAAAAAGAAAAAAAAAAAAAACGGACATATTTCAGGAAAACAGAATATTTAGATTGACGTTACATTGATTTTTCAGCAGATTTGCAGGAGGGAAAGATGCAAGTAACCGGAAGAAAATTCCACCGGCTAGAAGTGCGAGAAAAGAAAGTATCTTAAGAAAACTTACGGTTATGTGTAGCCATTTAAAATGCAAACGGATGGGACCTAACTGACAATCTAGTACTGCACTGAACATTGTAAAATAGCAGCAGCAAAGAAGAAAGCGCTTTAAAATCAATGCCATGAAAATATTTTTAGAAAAAGTTGGAAGATACGTGCAGCGGTGAGAAAGTGACTGAATTCATGATGCCAGGTCAGAATCGATTATATTGCAGACCCTTCTTTAGGATATTTCGAGAATTTCAAGATATATATCAGTAGCAACAGATTAAATATGACAGTAATATTCAAATGAACGGACGATGGGTAGATTTATAAATGTGCAATGTCGACTCAGATGAGGAAAATTGTCATTACACACTGAAGTACCTTTTGGAGTAGAACACCGAGAAATTGATTCAAAACTGAATCACTCCAAACCCAGCGGAAAACGTGAGACCAAGAAAGCACAATGTTTCTCTCCTGCAGGTTAGCATCAGCCGTGCTGATCGAAGAGAAAATGTTCTCTATGGTAATAAAAAGATAGCTGTTTCGTTTTGGAGCCAATTCTAGTCCTAGATAACAACTGATTGGGAGTCATTTTCGAGAGCAGCTGCCAGTTTTACTTTGTCGGAGCTATCACATTTTATAAGAATGGTAATTGTAACATTTGCCTTTTCCCTATAAGGAAACATTTAGGATTTAATACTGTTAATTTACCTTATTACTGTTGCCTTACCTTATTACTATTAATTTGTCTCAGTACTATTGCTTTGACTTGTTACTATTAATTCGCTTTATTAATGTTGCCTTACCTTATTACTATTAATTTGCCTTATTACTGTTGTTTTGCTTTATAACTATTAATTTGCCTTATTACTGTTGCTTTGCCTTATTACTGTTGCTTTGCCTTATTACTATTAATTTAACTTATTACTATTGCCTTGACTTATTACAATTAATTTGCCTTATTACTTTTGCCTTACCTTATTACTATTAATTTGCCTTATTACTGTTGCTTTGCCTTATTACTATTAATTTGCCTTATTACTGGTGCTTGTACTTATTACTATTAATAAGAATTGTAGTTGTAGCATTTGCCGTTTCCCTATAAGAAAACATTTAGAATTTAATACTGCTTTCGGTTGAAATTCATAAAATATTCCTCTTAAAACCATTTTTTAGGAAGACGAGTCTCTCAAGTCCAGTAGCTTTTATCGCTCTTTTCAAGTTTGATGGGAGTTTCCTTCCTAACCTTTTGTTTGACGGAGTTTGGAAAGTCTTAATTATGTCATTATTTTATTTTCGAGTTACGTGTGCTGTCCATTTTTGTTGTCGCTGATGTTGATGTTCGTAATTGATATGGTTTCTGTTATTTGTACAGTTTATGCTTTGGGATTGTGTAGCACCATTTCAGATAATAATGGTTTTTGCCAAGACACTCACACTTCAGTCGTTCAAAGCTATTTTTAACGATTAATCTTAGAAAACGAAACAAGAAGGCCCTTGATAAAGATAAGAAACGACGGTAGGTCTAACGATAAGGTCTTCGGCGTCTCCGGCGTTAATATGAAAGGATCTAGCGGGAGAAGTGGAAGCTTATAATGGATTGGCAAGGTGATTTCAGGATTCTTCTGTAGAAAGGTAAAGGCACAAATAAAAGTGTGCGGGAATTACGTAGTAATTACATTTATGTCATCAGCTAAAAAAACAAACAAACAAAAAAACAAAAAAAGATAATGAAAGGCGTAATTCACTCATGGTTCAATGAAGAATTCTTGAATATAATCATACCAGTGGTACATCTGGCAGCAAGGCCTCTGATCGGGAGATTAGACATTTTGAAGAGTGTGTAACCACCCTTAATTACTAGTCCTGGGTATGGAGATTAACTAGATCCGGCAACAAGGCCTCTGATCGGGTAATTGGTGGCTTTGAGGACCGTGGAACCACCTCTTAATTGCTAGTCCTGGGTATGACGATAAACTACATCGGTAAGCAAGGCCTCTGATCGAGAGATTGAGGATTTGAGAAGCGTGTAACCACCTCTTAATTGCGAGACCTGGGCATGACGATAAACTGCATCCGGTAGCAATGCCTCTGGTCAGGTGGTTGGAGGTTTTGAGGAGCTTGGAACCACCCCTTAATTGCTAGTCATGAGTATGATGATAAACTACATCTGGCAGCAAGGCTTCTGAGGTTTCTTGAGGAGCATGGAACCTTCTCTTAATTGCTAGTACCCAATATGGAGATAAACTGCATCCGTCATCAAACTTTTTGATCTGTTGATTAGTGATTTTCAGGAGCCTGGAATCACCTCATAATTGCTAGTCCTGGGTCTGGAGATGAACTACATCCGGCAGCAAAGCAAAGCCCCTGATCGGAAGATTGGAGGTTTTGATGAGTGACGAACCACCTCTTCATTTCTAGTCCAGGGTATGACGATAAACTGCATACGGCAGCCGAGCCTCCGATCGGGTAATTGGTAGTTTTCAAGAGCGTCGAACCACCTCTTAATTGCTAGTTTTGGGTATGGCGATAAATTTCATCCGGCATCAAAACCTTTGGTCAGGTGATGGGAGGTTTTGAAGAACGTGGAACCATCTCTTAATTGGTATTGTTCCCAGGTGTGGTAACCTTTTTTTTTTTAAGGTCTCAGCTATGGTCCAATAGTTAAGCCCTAAACAAAAACAAAGCACTGTAAAAATATAAAAAGAAAATTTTTATAGTAAAAAAAAAAAAATACCAGCAGTATATTTTTATATATAAAAATTACCGACAATATATATTTATAATAAAATTAATTACAATATATATTCATGGTAAAATGATCAGCAATAAATATTTATAGTGAAATGACCAGCAATAAGTATCTATAATAAAATGACTAACAATATATATTTATAATAAAATTATGAAATTAATTCAAAGTTCTCAAGAAAATTAAATTTCGGCATTAAATGACCCAAAAGGAGTTGATCAACCAGACAATACCAGAGTAGGGCAGTGCAGTGTTCGTAAGAATAGACACACAAACTGGCATGGTTTTCACGGTACGCCAAGTAAAAGAGAGGTACCGTTAACAACAGGAAGTAGCGGATCTAGGAAGATTTACTTTGACTCTGTTAACAGAGGTACTTTGGAAGATTTTTAGAAAGATGTAATCTCACTATCACTTTGTAAAACTGTTCAAGTCCTTCCAGGATGACATGAAAGTTAGGGTTAATGTTTGTTGTATTGTTAGGATAACTTTAAATGGTTGAAATTGCTGTAAAGCAAACAGACTGTTACGTTGACACTGTTCTCGCTTTTCTTTTTGCGTATTGATGCTTGCAAGGACTTTAATCGGATAAGCTACCATCGGGTACAGGAACTTTGGAAAAACTTTCAGCATACGCCGCCTCGCAAAGTACTACTGAAAGTTCGTGGTTTCTTGTGTGTGGAAAACTGCGATTTATAGCCTTTCGGGAGGCATGTAGGGCGTTCAACCTCATGATCCCTTTAGACAAAACAATGTTCTGCCTGCCCCACCCCGACTAGGCCGTCCAATTACGCTGATGTAGTTGAAAATCATTTACCTCAATGGTCAGAACTATTAACCCCTTTACTTTACATGATGATAAGATATCTTCATGCTTAAAATAGGTAATGGGCGCTTTCTCTGTTGTGAAAAGACCGTGTGTGGTCGCAGAAATGACTGCAAAATGCACCAAGTTCGAATAGTACAGTTGCTGCGTGCTAACCTGTCTTTTGTACTTAAGTGGAACATGGATGGCCTAGGAGAGACATAATGAAATACTGCTTAAGACCAGGTCTAGTTACCCACTGGAAGACCCACTTTACAAACGGTATCTACCAACTGCCACACGCAGTCAGTTGTGGCACAAGGCCGAATTTAAGGTGGAGTTCCCGAGCTCGTAGTCTCGGCCAAAAATTCCCGGTAGACCGGAAACGGGTAGGTTTTTGACCGAGACGAGCCTCTACCCTTTGACATAGCCCCGTCTAAGGATGCTCTCTGTCCGGAGGCAGATAGCTTAACCAGACCAGCTGAAGACTAATCTCCAACTGCGTGCCGGCAGATACAGAACTGTTGCAGAAAGCAAATGCTTTCAGCATGAAAGGACTATTCACCGACGTCGACAGCATACATCTATGCGACAATCGCATTCCTAACCAGTGAGGAAATACCAGTTTTTGTTTCTTGCCTGTTGCAATAACTGAAGAAATTGTTCCATGATTATGTCAAGGATTCACTAACACTATGTATAATTGACGATCCCAAATAGGAGACAGTGGTGTATGATCGAAATAGGCGGCTAAAATTGTGTATACTTGACTTCCTTGCCTCGAAGAGAAGGCGAATATCTTGGTTAAAACAAAGAAAGCGGCCAGACAATGTGATTATATCAACCTGGACCTGTCACAAATTGTTTGACAAGTGTGTAAATGAGTCGAAAACCATTCATCATTGTAGTCATGTTACAAGACATTGAGCAATTATGATTCATTCACTGCCATAAGTTAAGACTGCGGTAATGTGTGCATAAGTCAATCAGTCTTAACAAGCCACCTAGTGGTGCACCAGGCCCCCCGACTTAATGAAGTCCACAAAGAAACGGCACAACCACACGACGATGTTTCAAATGGTTGTAAAACAGAATGTGTGTCACTTAGATTCTATAGTTATCTCTGACTAGCCATGTCTATCGATATTTCCGTATGTTCATATCTATCTATCTATCTATCTATCTATCTATCTATCTATCAGCTTCTTAATAGTTATCTATATATATATGATTTCATTTTATCTATCTATCTATCTATTACAAACCATTTCTTTTTATCTATCTCAAGCCATTTCTATCTATCTATCTATCTATCTATCTATCTATCTATCTGCGCACCTCTATCTCTTTATCTATCTGTTTATCTATCAATCTATCTCTCTATCAGTATGTTCATATCTATCTATCTATCTATCTATCTATCTATCTATCTATCTTATCGTCCGTCAGTCTGTTAATATCTATTTATTTATCTATTTATATATAGCAATGTAGTATATCGTCTTACCCAAGATGGGGATGTAGTTTTTCTTCTTACCCAGGACTCGGATGTAATTTATCGTCTCACCTAAGGTGGGGATGTAGTTTATCGTCTTACCCAGGACGCGAATGTATTTTATCGTCTCAACCAAGACAGGGATGTAGTTTATCGTCTTAGCCAGGACGCGGATATAGTTTATCGTCTCATCCAAGATGGGGATGTAGTTTATCGTCTCACCCAAGACGGGATGTAGTTTATCGTCTTAGCCAGGACGCGGATGTAGTTTATCTTACCCAGGACGCGGATGTATTTTATCGTCTCATCCAAGATGGGGATGTATTTTATCGTCTCAACCAAGACAGGGATGTAGTTTATCGTCTTAGCCAGGACGCGGATGTAGTTTATCGTCTCACCCAAGACAGGGATGTAGTTTATCGTCTTACCCAGGACGCGAATGTATTTTATCGTCTCAACCAAGACAGGGATGTAGTTTATCGTCATACCCAGGACGCGAATGTAGTTTATCGTCTCAACCAAGACAGGGATGTAGTTTATCGTCTTAGCCAGGACGCTTCTACTGTTTGATAGTTAACATTATGATTTCGGATCAAATATGGATCAGAATTCGACGAAATAGTAAATAACAAATTCATCAATCTAACATGTTTCGCTTTTGTAAAAGCTTCATCAGAGAATGAGATATGGAAAAAGAAATTTTGGCACTTTTACCTTTGTGTTGTTTGGTTTTCATTGTTCAGTCATGTTTCACGTACATTGTTAAACAAACGTTAATATAATTTGTCGCATTCCAAATTCAAGAGGAGACGACGCGTCCATTCGATATTCCGAAAATCAACATAAATATTGCTTTATATATATATAAAGACATTTTTTATGTTTATGCGTTCTTTTTATAGATAAAAATATTTAAGTAAATGCTCTGTTTATAATAAACAGTATTAACACCCTGAATGTCCCAAAAATTTTCATAGAAATATTCGTCCTCCGACAGGAATCGAACCTGCATCCTACACGTAACCGTCATATAGCCTGACGTGCCTTAACCGATTGAACCACAGAGGAGCGTTCGGCCAGCACGTTCGATTTTACTGTATTTAAACACAATTCTCCATGATTTTCTCTCATACATTCATATCTGCTCAATGTGTTGTCCAAGTGTAAAAAAATGACGTCACACATTATGAAATGGACAAAGTCCGACAATTGTTTTTAAGACACTCAGGCCGGTAAATGTTGTTAATACTGTTTATTATAAACAGATTTTTACTTAAATAGTTGTTTCTATAAAAAGAACGTATAAACATAAAAAATGTCTTAAAATAATTGTCGGACTTTATCCATTTCATAATATATATATATATATATATATATATATATATACACGTTTCATTAAATAATATAGACAAGTGTTGTCTATTTATTTTATGTAAAATTTTTTCGTATCTTCTGATAAGTTTGGTAACATTATCATTAACCGAAAAAAGAAATTCACAATATTTATCCATTATTTTTTAATAAAATCTAAGCTTTCGGCTTACTCAAGCCATTATCAAAGATGTAATTACAAACATATCAAACAATATACGGACACGACAGTGATGATACTCTGTCATTGTTTTGTTTACATAGTGGATCACTAAGCAACGATGAACACGCGCATATAAGACGCTAGAAGCGAAAATCGCACCGCATCTCATGACGTCACACATGACTACACGAGAGTGAATTGTAGAATGAAATAAGGAAAGCCGTTGGTATAAACCAATGGCTTCTGTTACCAATTATAGAAATTATAGACATTTAAGAATATTTGTAGAGATTCCATAGTTGATTTTGTTTAGGTTGGGTTTTAACTGTTTGATGTATAATGCTTAGGTTATTTTTAGTTTTTGTCTATTGTTTTCATGTCTAAGTATAGTTGTGTTTTCGACAATTATTTTACGGAATTGTGTGTGCGGGCAGGCATGTTGTTTTAAATGCCTAAAAATGTTAGAGTTTTCATTAAAATGTAGTGTCAAGCGTCGTGAAAGCGAGTTTGTGGTGTGACACTACATTTTAATGAAAAACTCTAACATTTTTAAATGAAAATATGCTGCCTAAATACACACACAAATATATATATATATATATATATATATATATATATAATTATTTATTTAGAAAATTTATAACATAAACATGTTATAAAATAACTACAAAAATAGCCAATCGTTTTCAACACTCCCGGTATCTTACAAGTATATATGTGTGTGTGTATACATATATATATATATATATATATATATATATATATATATATATATATATATATATATGTGTGTGTGTGTGTGTGTGTGTGTGTGTGTGTATAATTTAGTATGTCTATGTGGGATTTTAATGATAATGTATATGCATGGGTGTTTGAGTGCGTGTTTATGTATATGTGTGTCCGTCCGTATGCCTAATAGAAATTATGTTTTACATATTTGAAATAGGGGAATGTTGTTACGTTCAAAGCGTTTGTTTTAGATCAACATACATTAGATTCTTTAAGAATAGATTCAATAAAGATTGCCGATGTAATATAATGTTTTTGACGTGTGTTTATAGTTGATAATATTGTCATTATTAGTCCCTCGAAGTATTTTCGATGTAAAGAACTATAATCTTATTTAATTCTTGTGGCGGTTTATTTTTTTAAATCAAAGTTATAGCCAGTTTTGTTCATGTGTATTACCAACGAATTTGAATGGTTGTCTAATCGTCAATCTCTTTGATGTTCATAGATACGGGCTTTTAGAGTCCTAAGATTCCTTGAGGAAGTTTTTTTTTTATTTCTTCCAATTATATTTGCTTGAATATTGTTCTCTTATTTTCAAAATGATCTCACGCAACTAGAGTCATCGCAATTTTATTCAATTTATTGACACCGTTCAGAATTTTTGTGTTTATTTAGCAAATATTTTAATATTAAATTCTCTAAAATGAATTGTTTTTCATTTGGCCAATTTTAGTAGACGAAATCAAGGCGCAGGTCCATGGTCACAAAGCTTCGTACTTGTTTATTTGAAGTAACATATGGAAAATTCTTTGCCAAAAATATTAACCTTCTATTCGCACCGTCCTGGGCATGACGATAAACTACATCCGCGTCCTGGATAAGACGATAAGCCACGACCAATAGCAAGGCGTCTGATCAGAATGTTTTGAGGAGCATAGAACCACCTCTTAATTGCTGATGTTCCCAGGTCCATCCTGATCCGGGGTAGTAGCACCTGTTAGGGTCCAAGCTATAGGCAAATAGTTAACCCCCAAAACTCGGATCAAAACATTATGAAAGTGTAAAAATGGGTTTTAATACCAGAAATACTTTTTATAAAAAATTATTACCAGCAATACATTTTTGAAAAACGAATATTACCAGCAATACATTTTTTGAAAAAAAAATATTACCAACAATGAAAATTGTCGGCATTAAATAACCCATTGAGGTTGATATGACGTAAAACAAACCAAACCAAACCAAACCAAACCAAAATCTATTAGCGTCTTATTTTTTTTTATATAACTTAACCCAATGTCATGATTAAGCTCTGCTAAAATACTTGCAAGAGCCTCCAAGGCCGGAATATCAGAATAACTATCTATACGTCGAAGAGTGATTATCAAGCTATCGATCTGATTGTTAAGGTATCAATATATATATATTGTCTATCTGATTATATATATATATATATATATATATATATATATATATATATATATATATATATATATATATATATATATTTTATATCGAAGTATGAATGACAAGCTCTCTATTTGGTTATCAAGGCCCGTGTATTTATTATTGTCATTAAATAACCCAAACAAACAAACAAACAAACGAACATAATATTAAATTCTCTAAAATGCTAAATTGTTTTTCATTTGGCCAATTTCAGCAGAAGGAACCAAGGCGCAGTTCAATGGTCACAAAGCTTCGTACTTTTTTATTTGAAGTAACATATAGAAAATCTGAGGCGTTCTTTGCCAAAAATATTAACCTTCTATTCGCATCTTATTTTTGGTATTTTTAATACCACCACATTTCAGAACGTAGGCGAGAATGGCTCTAAACAATTTTTTTTTCTTTATTTTCTGGGAATTGCCATAAATTTTTGAGAAAGACATCGGAATGGATTCCTTTTGCTTTTTTCGTGATTTGGAATTTGGAATCTTTCTTTATATTTCTTGCCAACGAAGACCTGGTACAGGCAACTATTTAACCACTTTATGCCTTTTCCAGGCTTCTTATTTTTGGGAAAATGAACGCACCAGATGCGGTCGGAATTGGAACATACCCCAACTTTTTCAACCATATCCATTACACTACCCTGCTCCTCTTTGTAACAGGCTGGCAGTAGTGATTTGTACTATTTTTTTATGTCGGGAATTGTGGCCAGGGATTTTTGCCGATCCTTTTCTAGATCATATCGATTACCTGAGCCACTGACAGATCATATCGATTGCCTCACCCACTGACAGATCATATTGATTGCCTCACCTACTGACAGATCATATCGATTGCCTCACCCGCTGACTGATGATATCGATTGCCTCACCCGCTGACTGATGATATCGATTGACTCACCCACTGACAGATCATATCGATTGCCTCACCCACTGACAGATCATATCGATTGCATCACCCGCTGACTGATGATATCGATTGCCTCACCCACTGAATGATCATATTGATTGCCTCACCCACTGACAGATCATATCGATTACCTCACCCGCTGACTGATGATATCGATTGCCTCACCCACTGAAAGATCATATTGATTGCCTCACCCACTGACAGATCATATCGATTGCCTCACCCGCTGACTGATGATATCGATTGCCTCACCCACCGAAAGATCATATTTATTGCCTCACCCACTGACAGATCATATCGATTGCATCACCCGCTGACTGATGATATCGATTGCCTCACCCACTGAAAGATCATATTGATTGCCTCACCCACTGACAGATCATATCGATTGCCTCACCCACTGACAGATCATATTGATTGCCTCACCCGCTGACAGATCATATTGATTGCCTCACCCACTGACAGATCATATCAATTGCCTCACCCGCTGACAGATCATATTGATTGCCTCACCCACTGACAGATCATATCGATTGCCTCGCCCGCTGACAGATCATATTGATTGCCTCACCCACTGACAGATCATATCGATTGCCTCATTCATTGACTGATGATATTGATTGCCTGACCCGCTGAGAGATCATATTGATTGCCTCACCCACTGACAGATCATATTAATTGCCTCACCCACTGACAGATCATATTGATTGCCTCACCCGCTGACAGATCATATTGATTGCCTCACCCACTGACAGATCATATCGATTGCCTCATCCATTGACTGATGATATTGATTGCCTCACCCACTGACAGATCATATTAATTGCCTCACCCGCTGACTGATGATATCGATTGCCTCACCCACTGACAGATTTTAAATGTTACACTTTTTGATTTTCAATTTCAAGACCTTTATCTTTATTTAATTTATTTATTTTACAGACATATTTCACTGGGATTCTAGAATCATATCAATGTAAAAGTCGGTTCTCCTCTTCCTCCTATCCGTGATTAATTTATCTCGTCTGTTTGTCTGAAAGACGCTGTCAGTATTCACAGCAAAGTTCGATAGCATATTTTATACCTACCCAGAGTAATCTATTTACTGCAGGTATTTCATACTGTTTGGAATTTATCCAATGTATAGTGAAACGTAAATGTATTGGACACAAGAAGATAAAATGGAAAAGAAAATGTTTCAAAATGACTTTTTTATCATTTAACTTACCCAACAATGGACTGATATATAAAGCTTATATATATATATATATATATATATATATATATATATATATATATATATATATATATATATATATGTCGAACTTGGGAAATTTGCCACGATATCGATTGAATTCAGTTTCGAAAGTGTCATCATGTACAAGCAAATTGATGGAGGCTCAATAGGTTCCCCTTTAGGACCCATTTTAGTTAAGATCTTTGTATACTTCCATGAAGAGAGTTCATTATCTGATCTTAATAGACCTGATTTTTATTATCGTTATGTCGATGAGACTTCAATAGCGAAAACGGAGCTGACCTCTTTATTACGTCCCTTGAGAATATTTCCTTCCAGCTCTTAAATTCACACAAGATACAGCAGTCAACTCTTCCCTTCTATTTCTAGATGTCTTGGTTCATAGAAATTCTTCGGGTTTTCTCACTTCAGTTCATCGAAGACCGACGTTTACTGGTTGGTATACCCGATGGAACACGTTTTGTCCGATAAAACGGAAAACAAATTTAATACTCTTACCCATAGGGCCTTAAAGATCTGTTCTAAAACCAAACTAAATAATGAGATAAGGTTTATTAGTACGACTCTCTGCAACAATGTCTATCCTTTAGACATTGTTCTATCCGTAATTAAAAATAAAAGTTCTGAGTTTAATAAAGTCAAACCTGTTTCGGTACAGAGATGTCCAGTGTACCTGCGTCTTCTTTGCTTTGGTTTTGGTTTATTTTGTTTTACGGCATATCAACACCTCAATGGGTTATTTCATACCAGCAAAATTTTTATTGCTAGTAATATTTTTTATCTATCTATCTATCTATCTATCTATCTATCTATCTATCTATCACAATGAATCAGAGTCTAATCTATCTATCTATCTATCTATCTCAGTATATATTGGTTTGATTTATTTTGTTTTACAGCATATCAATCTCAATTGGTTATTGAATGCCGACAAGATTTTTATTGCTAGTAATATTTTTTCTCTCTCTCTCTCTCTCTCTATATATATATATATATATATATATATATATATATATATATATATATATATATATATATATATATATTGGTTTGGTTTATTTGTTTTACTTCATATCAACCTCAATGGGTTTTTAATGCCGAAAAGATTTTTATTGCTATTAATTTTCTGGGAATATTTTTCCTAGAAGAAATCTATAGCTGGTCATATTTTTTCAAAGAATGTATAACTATTTGTATTGCTGGTATTTTTTTAAAATTTATTGCTGATAATGATTTTTCCTTAAAAAATTATTGCTGGTAATAATTTGTTTTTATTACAAAGTATTTCTGGTATTAAAACCTATTTTTCAAAAGATTGGGTGTTAACTATTTTCCCATAGCTGGGACCCTAACAGATGCTTCCACCCCGGGTCAGGGTAGACCTAGGAACACTAACAATTAAGAGGTGGTTCTACGCTTCTCAAAACCTCCTGATCAGAGGCCTTGTTGTTGGACATATTTATTGTCTTACCCAAGACGGGGATGTAGTTTAACATCATACCCAGGACGAGTCTTCTTTGGCTAGGTAGTATTAGTAACAGATTTACTAAACGGGTTTCTGTAGAAGCTGGACAGTGTTACTCTGCTGTTAATACACGTGTGGTTTTCTCTGCTAAAGCTGTTCTTCTATGATTGGGCAAATACGTTATTCCACCTCGCCATAAGAGTTCCTTGATTTATTTATTTAAATGTAGTTGTAGTATACACTACATAGGAAGAACGATTCAAAGGCTGGATGCTAAGATTAAACAAGACGTGCCTAGAAAAATCCGCAACTCTAATTATTTAACATCTGACATTCTAACCAATACATACGGGTCTTCCGTTATAAATAACCGCAATTGTGCTGCTAATTTCAGTGTGGACTCGTTTTCCACCTTGAAAAGGTCCCACTCAAATTACCACCTTATGATATTGGAGGACATATATATTTTATCAACGATAAAATCAGATTCCTTTTATTGATAATGTTTACATATTTATTAACCACAATTTAGCTCTGTTAAGCGAGGTTAGAAAACGGTTAGCTCGATCGTTCTTAAGTTTTCCTTTTAATTATTATTTGTGGTAGTATTAATCCTAGAACACTAACCATCAATTAAAGTTACACCACTACAAACAAGGAAAAATATATATATATATATATATATATATATATATATATATATATATATATATATATATATTAAATATAAATCTTTGAAATATTTTATATGTAGGCACTTTTAAACTTTGAGTTAATAGCAATAGGAACTGGAAAATATATTATTTAGGTAAGAAAATCAGGTACTGAAAATTGTAATTAAAAATAGGAAAATTTGCACTGGGTACTATATACCCATGGTTAGTGTTCTAGGGTTAATTTCTACCATATCACGTTAAAACGAGCCTTGTCAAGAACTAAATGGGTGACCACTTAAGAATACCAGGTGCTGCCCCTGACAAAATGATTAGACTTCTTTGTATTCTTGGAAATATAAAATTATGAATTGTATGTGCGTTTAAAACTCAGTAAATTCAAAAATAAGTTATTCCAAAATTCGCTTGAATATGAAACAGAACTAATGCTTCTAATTTAATTAAATTTGGTTTTAGCTTCGGTTTTTGAAACATGGCAATTCCTGTGTAGCGAAGAAACCATATTTTAAATCAGTTAATTTAAATATATATATATATATATATATATATATATATATATATATATATATATATGTAGAATAAATATATATATATAATATATATATGTGTGTTTTGTGTGTAATGACTTTTATATAAATCGATGAGCTTGTGTTTAAAAGAAAAGGAAAAGGAATTAATTTGTTTTAGTTCTTAAAGTTATTCACCCCAAACTGAAAATACAATGTTGCCGTATAAGTAATAAGGGTAAAAAAATAAAATAAAATAATTAATAGTTTTATATGTCTATATTTCTGACATGACGTAATGTAACTATTTATACTATTCCGTCTTCATCTTTGCTGTCATATTCACGACGTTTCGGCCGTTGTACTCCCAGGCCTTCTTCTGGTAATTGAAATTTCAAACCGCAAGATTTTCTTTTTTTTTCACGACGTTCAAACCACCATTCTTGCCACGGATAGTAAGATCAGAATCACTACCCGTTTCACTCACTAATATGGAGACGAAACATAGTCGCACGCGTATGCGAGATCGATTGACACGAGATTTTCGTTAAAGTTACGAGCCGTTGCACGCTTTCTTCAGATGATTGAAATTTCAAACCGAGCCCTTTATTTCGTTCACCGGGTGTTATGGTGTAGAACCATAGAAAGATGACACGGACTCTGATATAAGGTTAAATAGTATATTCACGGAAACGTAGTACAAAGGTAAATGTGGACTGGAGAGTACTTTCTCTCACTGGTGTCCTGACTCACTCACTCACTCACTCTATGACTACTACTCGGTGACCCTCACTTGGTGATTCAGTATCTAGCCACCCACCACGAGGGTTGCATGTGGCACAAGGCCGAGTTTAACGTGGGTTTCCCGAGCCCGTAGGCTCGGCCAAAAAAAATGCCCGTAGACTCTGCCCTTCGACGGAGCCTCGTCCGGGTTCCACTCTGCTCAGAGGCAGAGAGTTCGACCGTCAAGCCGAAACGGCTCGGCTCGACTGATTCGGTATCTAGCCCCCACCACGAGGGTTGCATGTGGCACAAGGCTGAGTTTAACGTAGGCTCGGCCAAAATATACCCGTAGAACCCGTATAAACGGGATCGGTTTGGTCAACCTCCCCGAACGAGACTCTACCCTTCGGCGAACCCTCGTCCGGGTACCTCTCGGCTCAGAGGCAGAGAGTTCGACCGTCAAGCCGAGAAGCTCGGCTTGATTCAATGATTTTCCAAGCTTAGATGTGACACAAGGCCGAAAGTAGGGGGTACCCAGTGAGAATCGATCTCACTGCCCAGTGGTAATTGTTCTAGCGAGACAAGCTTGCTAACCATTACACCGCCTCGAGCTGCCCATAGAGATTTTCCAAGCGTAGCTTAGATGTGGCACAAGGCCGAAAGTATGGGGCATCCAGTGTGGATCGAACTCACTTTTCAGTAGTAACTGATCTAGCAAGACAAGCTTGCTAACCATTACACCACGCCGAGGTGCTCCCTTCACTCGGTGATTCCTTTTACTCAGAGTTGGTAGCCATATTTTATAGGCTTGGAAGAGTCCATTTGTAGGTAGGTCCCCACAACACAGGGGTAGTTTCTTCTAGTTCCACGTTCCATTCAGCTTCTGTATATATTAGTTTCAGTTATTTCTCTTTAGTAACAAGTCTTCAAGCTTTTCGTTCACCTATGCTGTAGCCAGGTATTGAACTCACAAATCTTAGGATCAGTTCACGAGATTACTTTAACGAACACATTTATCCACATTGCCAATTGAGATATCAGTCGGAACAATGTAAATAGCCTAAATATTTTAGAAGCTTTATTTTTCGATTTGCTAATGGTGTAATTAGATAGGACCTGTGTATTTTTAACGCCTTTAACAGTTTATAGCTTCCTGTGTTCACATTCTTAATGTCCGCCATAATCATCTTTATGCTCTTCCATAAATTGTATTCATCCAGCTGTTATTCCTTTGACAACAGTATCCGCATTTCCATTTGGTAAATATGTCTTCTAACGTAACTACTCTTCTTTCATTCTTCAAAACAAGTACTTGATATTTTTGGCCATCAATTTGTTTACCATCAAAATGCAATGGCCAGTTTTCTAAGTGCAGTGTTTTCTTTATTTCTCCTTTAAGTTGAACAGATTCTTCAATGGTTGCTGTCTAAATAGCATATTGAGAAGGTGTTTCAACGTCAATCCTTTCGTAAGATAACTGCTGACAAACATTTCCTGCTTTGCTGGTTGATAAGTTTGAAGATGTTACTAATTTGGTTTGCTGTTTTGGTTTTTCTATAATTCTACCTTTTTTTCTTGTGGATTGTTCTTCAGAACTTTCGGATTCTACATATCCACTCTCTGATTCAGTGTCTGATTCGAAAGTTGTTACTGTTGTTGAAGTACGCTCCAAGGTCATTTATCTTCTTTTGGGTGGCTGAATAGTTTTGGAACAACATGTCCATTGCTTTCGATCTGAAGATGATATAATCGTCTTCCCCTACAACACCGCCATTCAACATTTTTTTCTGTGATGTCAAAAATTTCGTTCAACAGATGATATTTTCCTCGTTTCACACTTAATTGTTGGTGTTCAGCACTTGATTCAGTTTTCCTTGTTTGATTTGAGATGATAAATTTAGGAAAGTTTAATTTATTTTGCCAAAACTGTGTTACTTATTTATCGATTTCCTTTATACGTCCTTTCCTTCCTTGCTCCAAGGAACAGAAAATTTGGATTTTGAGTGGTATCCTTCTTTTGTTTTTGTGTGATACTTCTTCTGGTAGAAGAGTTCATCTTTTCTATGAGATTCTTCGTACCGATTTTCTTGTTTCTTTCAGTGATAGAAACACATTTTTATGAGAAATTATGGTTAAAAATGTATACTTTGAGATCTTTCAGCAAATCAATCAAAGTTGCTGTTGGTTAGGAAATGTTAATAAATAGAATAATCAAACGAAGGCTGGTAATGAACGATAATACTTATGACAAGAACAACACATATAAGATTCGCTAGCGGCGCGTAGAAGTAGTCAACTGCTAGAAATAAGTCAAGTGAATTCCACAATGAAGCTCTAACGGCGGAACAACATACAGTATTTCCTACTGTATTTATGTGAACGGGGACGTACTCATTATCGTCTGTAGGTATGCTACAGCAAAAACTAAAAAGGAAACAATAAATCCTATTTGGAAAACACTTTATTAAAACCATGGATAAATTTGGTAGTTTTTGATGAGATCATAAAAAAAAGAAATATTAAAACTGTTGTAACCTCGGGAATGTTACCGAATAGAAAAATCAAATGAAGGTTGGTAATGAACGATAATACTTATGACAAGAACAACGCATATAAGATTCGCTAGCGGCGCGTAGTAGTAACTGCTAAAAGTGAGTCAAGTGAATCTTCAACTGTCGACCAACATACAGTATTCACTACTGTATTTATGGGAAAGTGGTTATACCCATTATCGTCCATAGTTATGCTATAACAGTTGCTCAAGAAGCTTATATACTCTGAAATAAAAAAAAATGATCACAATCGCAACACATTTACCCAGTTCGCCTTATTCATATATTTATTGCCTGAAATTGAAACAATACCATAAATCACAATACCCCATATTCAGAGGGGACCTACAAACACCCCCCCCTTACATAAAAATATCAAAAACTCTCTTTTTTTCATAAAATATATATATATAAATACAATGATCATGAAATGAGGAGGAAGGAATGAATAAAAAAGCTTAAAATATTACAAATCATTCAAACTCAATATATGTTAGAAGGACCCATCGACTCCATAAAAAATAAGAGTAGTATATGTAGGATTGAATGGTGAATGAGCAAATTATAATGAATGAATGAGTCGTGAATCTGATTAGCTCGTCCTAGGATAGAAAATGTCGACAAGCTTTACTCCACTTCCGCTTTTGGCCTTGTGCGGCAATTGTGCGTTGGTTAAAGTAATCCAGTGACTTGACCCCAAAGTATTGTGAGTTCAATACCTGGCCACAGCAGAAGTGAAAGAAAAAGATTGGAGAGTTGTGTTACTAAAGGAAAATAATTGAAACCGAGATATCCAGAAGCTGAATAGAACGTATAACTAGAACAATCTACCCCTAACGACGAGGGAAGTATATAAATAAATGAAGGGTGGAATAATAAAATGTAGACCCAGTACAGATGAAAAGACGAGGCCAAAAATAAACAAAAAAACCAAGGGGGGATGGGAATTTCGATATGGATCCTAACAAAAGAGAATGCCGGGAACAACACTTACTCATATTAACTTGATAAATAAAGAGACTCTATATTAACCAGGGGTAGTTTTGACTGAAAACCGACCCGTTGCGTCAAAGGGAACTTAAAAAAGAACATCAAGGCTGGCCCCATTCACTCGAACCAGGCTCGCTACTTTTATTCACCTTTCGCTGAAATCTATCGATATGAATCGCTTTATATCAGCTCTGATCTTCATCTTCAGGTGATGTAAAAAGAATACGACCAGATCCTGATTAGAATAGCGTTCATATCGCAAGATTCCTTCCATTCGTAACGTCCATACCACCATGGCACAGTGAGAGGACCCAAACAGTGTGAGTTCAATACCCTGTTAAGGTAGTGGAGAATTTCGAGAAGGGAATTAACAGGAGATAATTGATAACTGACATCCATTAAAAACATGGCAAGTGGAACTAGAACGGTCTAACCCAGTGAGCGAAATAAAGGGTTCAGTTCGACATTCCAACTACCTGAAGAAGGCCGGAGCATACAACGGCCGAAACGTTGTAATAAATAGGGCAACAAAGATGAGGACAATAGTCCGAATAATGTAAATAGTGTACATAACACCATATCTCAGAAATATAGACAGATACTGAAAGGCCGAAACGTTGTAATAAATATGGCGACAAAGATGAGGACAATAGTCCGAATAATGTAAATAGTGTACATAATACCTCATCTCCGAAATATAGGCAGATACTGAAAGGCCAAAACGTTGTAATAAATATGGCGACAAGGATGAGGGCAATAGTCCGAATAATGTAAATAGTGTACATAATACCTCATCTCCGAAATATAGACAGATACTGTAGAGGGAAGGATAAAAAATAAATGACGGGGTGGGAAAATCAAAAACTGACTCAGTGGTGATGCAAAACCAAAGGGGACAAAAACAAACTGGAGAGAATTAGAATTTTGACATGGATCCTAACAAAAGAAAATGCCGGGAACAAGCCATGGAGAACATTTGCTCATATTAACTTGATAAATAAAGAGAGTCTATATTAACCAGGAGAGGTTTGACAGAAAACCGACCCGTTGCGTAAAAAGGGAACTTAAAAAAGAAAATTAATGCTGGCCCCATTCACTAAAATCTTTAACTCTGTGTTTAGTAGAGTTATGAGCCTATAATCATCTAATTCTCGCTCACAACCCTTGCCCTTTTTCAACAGCTTTATCACAACGCTGGAGATTCTTTTGGGTATGGACCCGTGCTTAAACCAGTAGTTGAACACAGTCAAAATAGACACAAAGATGTCTGACAGCCTCAAGTACAATTCATAGGACAGACCATTAAGACCCGTAGACTTGCTACTGACTCTTCAAAACCAAGTAGATTTCAACCTCTGTGATCTCACTGTCTCCGGTAAACGCTTCAGTCAGCGAAAGCCGACGAATGTCAGCAAAATAAAGCGAAATCCTTCCTCACAGAGACCAGGCCGAAATTCTTCATCAGTCGACCTCAGAGTACGCCCCTCCAAATTATCGACGGGACAAATGTATCAAGCGGTGACACCGAGGGATCTCTTCCTCGAGCGATTCCGCATCCGTTTTCACGGCTTCGTTAGGCATCTTGTTTAATCTATGCCTAATGATCTGACACTGGTAGCTTCAGAGCCCGCTTAATGTGGCTTTTTATTCTTGGCCG